TTTAATGTCCTCCAACTTTCGACAATTGTGCAACTTGGTCCCCAACTTCACAATCTTGTACACTTTTAGTCTATTTTTCTCCTTTTGTCTTGTTCTCTTTCCTTTTGGTGATTTCTACCTACAAACGCAATAATTACATAATTGTGAGTAGAAGTTCGCTCATTTTTATCAATAATAAGTATATTTAAGTATTAAATAAGTGTGCAAAAACACACTTATCAAATATGTTTTTGAATTAGACTACGTTAATTTGTAAAAGTTACGAATGAAATGTCATTAGTTGTATTTATGTAGTGTTGCTGTAAATATTAAAAAATTTAATTATGTTACGGAACCGAACCGAACCGAACCCGAACGGTTCCATAATTATATTTGGACCCGACGGTTCCATTTATTAAATATCCGAAAGTTTTGGGTCGATTTGGATCTCTTCATAACCGAACCCAATCGACCTACGGACAGCCCTAACCCCTACAGCCCTTAAGTCCTCCACTGTTAGTTGAGTAACATGCGGTATAACTGTTTGCGCCACTTGGGGCAGCTTCTCGGGTACGACCTCGGGCATAATCTGTGGTGGGGTTGTGGCTTTCTGCGTTTACCTCTGCAAGAGGGCCATCATGGTTGCTAATTGAGTTTCCAGGGCACTGAATTGGCTATGCGTTACGTACTGCGGTAGCGATGGCGGTGGCAGGTCGTGACCCCTTCCCTTGCAACAGATTTCGACTCCATATTTCCCGCATTTCCAACTACACGCGTTTCACTCCTAGTCCGTCTCCTTGAAATAGTTTTTTGTTCAGTGGATTCCTACGGACGACGCTAATGAAATTGTAGCGAGATAGACCTCTGCGTTCTCCTTGACGTGTAGGGTGTTCTGGCTACTCTGATCAGTAAATGCTACCTGCAAAATGAGGTCATGGTTTTCTCTCATGTTGTACCTCCGACGTGAGAATCAGTAGTTGGTTTAGGAAAGTAGGAAGAGAGTATAATTGGAATTCAAGTAGTTCGGGTTTCAAGAGAGCCATACTTTTCTCACCCTAGGAATACTTATAGGCACCGATGCAACACACTAGTTCAACAGTTAATGGTGTCACGTGTCCCACGTAAATCTTCCCACTTCCCCATTTTCTGATGGGATGACCTCCACTCCTCAAGTGATTGGTTATGCCCACGTTTGCTGCTGAGCGGTTCCCTTCCATCTCATTGTCATTTGTATGGTTAAGTGTAGCGTTGGCCTCATAGAGGTAGACAGCCTATATAAACGTAGAGGGTTTCATGGTGGTAGGCGGCCTCATGGGGGTCGATGGCCTCGTGGTGGTCGACGGCCTCATGGTAGTGACTGTCTATGTGAACGTAGAGGGCCTCATGGTGGTAGATGGCTTATGTGAACGTAGAGGGTCTCATGGTGGTAGACTGCCTCATGGTGATCGATGGTCTCATAGTGGTAGACGGCCTATGTGAACACAGAGGGCCTCATGGTGGTAGACTGTCTCTTGGTTGTCGACGGCCTTATAGTGGTAGACGGCATATGTGAACGTAGAGGGGCTCATGGTGGTAAGCGACATCATGAGGGTCGACGGCCACATGGTGGTAGAAGGCCTATGTGATCGTAGAGGGCCTCATGGTGGTCGACTAGCTCATAATGATAGATATCCTATGTGAACGTAGAGGGCCTCATAGGACTAAGAGTGTCACTCAGGGCCGGCCCTGAGGCGAGGC